CCCCCCCCCCCCGGGGTTTACATTGATAGGTGCATTACACAAGACGATTCACGATGACGATTTTCAGCGCAACACAGCATTGCAACATTCTTCCAACATTGCAGTGCTGTGTTGCGCTGAAAATCGTCATTGCAAATCATCTCGTGTAACATCACCTTAAGAGTGATCAGCATCGAATTTCTCCTTGTAATATAAATGCCTTGTAAAACAGAGTAGTCATGAGAATTACGGACATGATCACACAAAATGAATTTCCTTGATATTTTATCAACTTCTCCCCACTACTTCTGTAGGTAATGAATAGAGGCAACAAATGAGAATTAAAGGGTAAAATAAGGCTCTATTGGGAGGAGGCAGGTATGCACCCCTCTAGTCCAACTTTCAAAATCCTTCGTTTCACATTTTGAGGAAGCCTGTTCAGCCCCTTTCCAGTGCTGTTGAACCTCTCTACAATGGCCACCTTGGGGACGGAAGAAAGTTGCCGATGTGGAGAGGTTTAAAGCAAGAGTCAATGTATGGATTTTTTGTCTGACGGGATAAAAAAAAGTGGCCGTTAGCAGAGATTCGACTGTTTCATATAGGAGCCAGCCCCAAACCCCCACCTTCCCATAGTCCCTTGCGCTTTGTCACCAGTCACTCACATTTCACGCATGCCTCTGTTAGAAAAACAAAGCGCCTGCAGAGGATGAGGCTGACCAAACTTGTCTGCTAGCCGTAATCAACATCTAAAATGTTGTTTTAGATGTTGATCAGGGAATATCTGTACAATGTTACCCGTGCAGCAACCTTTTTTGTCCAAAATACAAAGAACACACATTTGATAATTAAACAGACAATTTTTTTCCCATAATCACTTCTAGGTGCAGGCATCAATAATTGACAACAGCTAATAGGAACAATGATAGAGCTTTAAGGCATAATGTTTATGTACCATAATTACATTATTTTATTTTTCAATCACCAAATGACTATTTTTTTTCCTTTAGCCAACAAAGAAAGTAATTTACAAATGTACACAAACAAAAAGAAATAAAGTTAAATAGAAATAGAATCAACTCTTGAGGTGCAGAACAGGTTCGATGCAGTAAACCCTCACGGCGCCTTAGCCCTGCCTTGGTGGAACAGAGAACACTCATGGCCCATCTCTAAGATGGATATCAATAACAGACTGACTCTGACCAATTCTTTTGATCAACGTCACTGTAATCAAACCATCTAACAGTGAGACAGCTCTCTAAGGGTGGAAACCTCAAAGTACACCTTCGCAGTCAAAACAAGTCATTTACCATGCCGCTACATTCAAAAGAGTTGACTGTATTAAAGAAAACAAACCTAAATGTATGAACATTTGATGTCATTATTTTCAGACGTAACTGAAAACAGTACAATGATTCAGGCTTGGTTGATAAGGATGATGTTCAAATAGTTGTGCCAGATCCAGGGGAGTGATCTGGTGAATAACTGCTACCTGATATATGCTTTGAATGCAAAGTCACCATTTCAACTTATTTTAAGTAGAGTAGTACAATGGATGACAAGCATTGACTGTTGTTTTCATGTTGCATCCAGTGGAGAATTCAGTAACCTTATCAAAACTTTTAGGGAAGAAGGATGCAGGAAGATAAAATTTTTGTTTCAGTCCTGGGGGCTTCAACGCCCTGGCCATATAGTTCCCTCCGCTAAGATCCATCACTGGTTTATCATAACCTTTTGTATTGTACCTAAAACTGAAACTTTCACAGAAGTGTATGTTTAAATGATATCAAAGCCCCTCAATCCAGTTTAGAAAACAATCTTGAAACTTTTGGACTTTCAATATTAAAATACTTGTTCTCCTTTTTGAAGCCCTTAAGCTGGTCTCTTATAGAAGTATCAAGGAAAGCTAGGTAAAGAGAATCTGACCTGAATGATCCTTTTCCTGAATTCTCAATATCCTCTCTAATATAAATAATGATAATCTTTATAAGGAGAACGTTGATGTTGATCACTCAGAAGAGAGCGTAGAATGATAATGAAAGTTGCTTAAAATTTCTTATTTGCATATGCATGAATTTTCAGTCGGTCTAAAATACAGGTCACTTTTCCACAGGTCAGAGTACAGGTCACCTTTATACAGATAAATGAATAATATTAAAAGTGTCTCTTAGCCCTAATCTCTTAACAAAATGCTCTATTAGATCGAGGGGAGTCTGAGTTTTTTGGTAATTTATCTAGGGAACAGTGACCCACACTCTAGACCCCGCCCATGAATTTCTTAGTGTGGAAATTTAAATAACAAGACTGTTTAGGTTTCTGGGAAACTGCCCACCTACCCCTCCCCAAGTGCCAATGTTGGCTTAGGGGAGGGATAGGTGTTCAGTTTCCAAGAAATCTACACTGATCCAGACGTCCTATATATCTTTTTTTGTTGACTTTGGCTACTAATGAAAGTGGTAGGGTATAAAATAATAGCAAAAAATCTGCTAAGCTAAATACAGTTGCTAAGAAATTTAAATATAAATGACGACACGTTACACATCACGCTTCCTCCTTTTCGCTCTGTTACTGTACTCATCATCCGATGTTATCTCTGCATTGTTATTCAGAGGTGAGCTGGGGTCCTGTTTAAGCGTCCCTTCTAGCAATCCATCCCCTGTTGGTGAAGAGCTAAGGAGGTTGTCAGTTGATGTCAAAAGGGCAGTTGTGGCATCAATACTCAGTTGCCCTGAATTTCTTGCTTTCTCCAGTGCTCGAACTATGGCAAAGGGAAAATATAACAATACTCAGCTTAACAAGCCTGTGTTTCCCATATTTCAGAATATAATGTAGCAATAATACCACAGAAAATACAGCTATGAACGAAGTCAACACAACGCTGTACTGAGGCCCTGCTGGGGGGGGGGTCCCATGTCGCCCGTCTGAATTTTAAAACGTCTCATGTCAGTGTATATAAATGCTTGTTGCTTGTTGCTTATTGTCGGCTTTGCCGTCACAGTCGCAATTTGGCCGAGGGAGGTTGTCTCTTGTCGCGATTTCATTTTATGCGCTGTTGCTACTTTTTGGACCATGTTGCTTGACGGAATTTACCCCGGCAGGGCCTCTGTACTGGATAAGGCTGTGCTCTGGCTAGCAGAGCCTGGTGGCCCCTGGCACCCAACTTTTGCCCCTGGGAAAAATCTTAGTGTTTTACAGGCTCAGAGCATTGGGCTTCCTTCAATTTTCCTTAGAGCACAGCCTTGCTGCAGCTACAAGAGCAGGGCAATAGTAAAGTTCCAACTACTGTAACAAACGTTTTGTACAAGTAATTTTACAGGAGGCTGTACCTTGCTGGTCAAGGATACCATTCTGTCTTTTAAGGTCATCTATATCAGTCTAACAAAAAAATCAACACAAATTACTGCAAAGCCTGAAAATTCAACCCTTACTGTTTAGTATTTACTGACCCAGAATATTTGAGAATATTTCGAGTTTCACTTCAGGCTCCTGGTACAAGAATAAAAAACTACAATAATAATAATATTAATAACATAATAAATATATCATTCTGTTCACAAACAACGATTTTTTTTTCATATCGCACTTTTATTAAATACTCCACAGCATTACAATACTAACGTTAATGCATGATATATTACATTACAATAAATTACAAATACATGACATTACATTACAATATGAAATTAAACGGTAAAGTAACCATACAAAAAAAAAAAGAAAAATATGTTCTAAGTACAGACGACACTAGGGTACAGAGTCCAAAGGCAGAGCCCACTTCTTCTTAAATTTGTCCATTTTATTAGTTTTAACACATATGTACTTTTCTGTTTCATACTTAATTTTAACCTTGGATGAAAAGGCAGTTATGGCTAGTCACAAACAATGATTGCACTTACTTGGTGAGAGTGATTCTTTCTTCTCATGAACTGGATATAATCTGTGGCTTTATTAAGAATTTGAGCCCTTGAAGCCTGTAAAGAAATCATATCGACCAACTTTAGTTTAAACTACTGGGAATCAATTTTAAAGGTTTTTTTTAACCTGAAGTGGAAATATAACATTATGGTGTGTTCCCAGCTAACAGAATCACCTTTTCTATTGTAGTTTAGAGATATCTGGCCATATAAACTTTTTAGGTCCCACTAGTGACCAACATCAATTTTCTCCTAATGATATCCATACATTGTCAAGAGATTAGGTTATGAGAATTAATAAAATGATCAACAAAGAGAAAATTCTTTGATCTTTTATCAAATTCTCTCAACTCATTCTTTAAGGAAATACATAAAGATCAGTTTGGAGAATTTGTATGTGGATATTGGGGCTTAAAGGGTTAACAGTTGTATTCTGAGGACCTGTAAGGACATAATTCCACCCAGCAACATAGCTATGAAATAGTGATATAAGACAGGCAGAAATGGTGACAAACAATACAATGATGGGTCAAAAATATGACAGCAACAAAAAAAGCACAAAGACAATGGTAAAAACCAACAGGGACAACGCTTCCTCCTCGATACACAAGATAACTGGTTTTGATATTCAAACTAGGGACATACATGCATAAACCCCATCTAAATGGTGCTCTATTTTGGGTAGCCAGCATTTGAGTGGAAGCAAGAATGGCAGTTTTAATAGTAACCTCAGTGACTGCATATACTACTATTATTATCATCATTTCATCTCAGAATCATAGAATTAAAGCCACCTCAACCCCCCTTCACAAGAGGAGTGGCTTTCCTCTGCTAAAAAATGCCCATGCTGTCCCAAAAAGGTAAGAGAAAGACAGGATGTGATAGAAAGAAAAATGTTCGTCATGCAGTTATAACTGTGAATGCATGATTTTCAACCAATGAGGACACTTGGGGAAGTAATGTATTTAAGGAATTACAAAATAATGTCCGTCTGGCTGTCTGTCTAGGCACGTCGGTCACAGTTCGTAAAATATTTTGCATAAAACAAGTAATGACCCCTCTTGACAACACAGTATCACGCAAATCTTTATCATATGGAGCAAAACTACAATCATTCTTTCCAGAGAACGAAAATTAGATCTAAGAGCGACACTTAACTTAGTGAACAAGACCATGCAAAGCTTAAGTCTAACTGTTCGAGGAAACCATTTCACCACGCAATTTTGACCGTTAGCAAATTACTGTAAATCCAAAGTGCGCTACAACAAACTGACAATTTGAACAGCTGATAGTTTTGTCACTGATACCAGTTTGTTTTAGGAGCATCCCACAAGAAATGAAATAAATAAAAAATTTCAGAATCTTACCTTCTCCCCTTGAAGCGAAGGTATAGAATCGCGAAGATGAGCGAAGCTATCTTTGATGTGATCTCGTCGCTTTCTCTCGAGAGCGTTGTGATGTGCTCGCTTATCGGCCTAAAATAAAAGCGAATCATGCATCCGTGAAAGTGCAAAACTAACCGACAGGAAAATCTACCTTGCAGATAGAATAGGGCATTCGCTCCTCATAAAATATTCAAATCCTGAGAACCAAATTTTGTCAATTTGGGCAAAGTTCCATAATAGCGTGACGGCGATGGACGAGGGAAAATCCCTTGAAATCTGGAATATTTTACAGATTTTGAAAGTAAAAATTTCTTTGTTATGAATCTCAACAGTCAAAAAAATCACCTAGAAACGGATCTAAGAAAAATGGAGCCCCTCAAAACATCGACACGTGTTTTCCTACTAAAGCCATGTGGACGTAGTTTGCACGCAATTTGACACCAAAACATAGGGTATACCTGCGACATATACTGCGGTTCTTCGCCATTTTCAGCTGCCTCCTACAAAATAATCAGACAGTTTTTAAACGGAACGATGCTTAAACAACTTGCAAAGTCATAAAAATACAATAATCAATTTACCTCGTCACTTTCAATGTCGATTTCCTTCTCCTCGTCGCTCATATTTTCTTTCTTGCCTTTCGCCATCGAAATAGAAGCCGACCCTCGTGATTCGAGCACGTGTCACCTCCAAATGACGCGGATTCTTGTCGGTAACGACGACCAATCACGATAGAGATTCGTTTGAAATTAATGACAGCCGAAAATGATAAACGCTTCCGAATGGAGGTAGAGATGCCTTAGTCACGATTTTGAACTAAAGAACGTGCTTTCCTAGCTAACTTATTTGTTGACTTTCAGATTTTTTTTATTTTTTCTGTATACACTGACTTATGATGAATCTGAGCGTTCTTGAAACAGTGCTAAAAATAGTGTCAACTGAGTTGTGTCTGTTAGAGAAGATAAAATCGGATAAACAGTTTTGTTTAATTATATAAAACAAACAAGACAACGATTTCTTAAATTTTCTTCTTCTGTAATATTTTAATAGTTGTTTTTTCGTTAGTATCTTTCGGTCGATCGGATGATCCGTGTTACAGACACTCCTTCTTTGTGTGCAAAGGGGACGGTGTTCAGCGTCTGGAAAAACGAGATCCTTTTTCGCAAAAAAAAAAAAAAAAAAACTCATCCCACACTTTTTGGCATCGGTTTCCCGAATCCCGTTTTTTTGTTTCCAAAATACTCAAGTTTAAAAAGCAGCGGCGGATTCAGGGGAGGGGACCGAGGAGCCCGCCCCCACCACCTTATTTTCGGACCAAACTGAGGCCCGAAGGGCCGAAACATTTTTTTGGGAGATCGGGCCCCTCCTTATCTCAAGGTGTGGATCTAGCACTGAAAAGACCAATTGCTGCAGAAGCTAATAACAGTGTAAGACGTTGATTGGCCCTTTCGATTAATATTTTGAATATCTGTTTAGACTGTTCACAGTCCCCTATTTTTTCGTGAAATCGTTTTGATATACCGCGTCTTACCGTCACTAGTATCTTGATTTTTACAAAAATGTAAATGTACCGAGGGGGCCGGCGTCGTTCCTCCCAAACCGCCCCCGCCCCCTAAGTAGTTTTGACACTCATGCAAGGTGGCAGCCCGTAACACAAAGTGCTCGATCTCGAAGATCTTACGGAAAAATAGAGGACTGTGAACAGTCTAATATCTGTTTGAATTAAAGCTTTTCCGCCCCAGTATGATGAAGCGGAGGGAAAAATCGGAAGAAACTAAGATGGAGGAAGAGAGATTTCCTGAATTCCTGACACTGACAGGCCAAAAAAAAAAATCCCGCATCCCGCGCCCAAATTTATTTTGCAGAATCCCGCTTCCTGGGTAGAAGTCAAATCCCGTTTCAAGATATTTTAGGTTTTCCCGAATCCCGCACCGTATTTTAGTCAAGTTCTAGCATGTTCCAGGCTTTCAGATGGTAGGTGGGAAGCGAGTTAAAAATCGTGTTCGCCCCCGCTTTACTATCAAAACGCATGGACAGGCTATTCAAATCCCGGATCCCGAAGATACACTTGGCTTCCAGATCCTGGGTGTTTATTTGGACGAATAATCTGCCTGATTTTATATCCGTTTTTATCCATCTATTTTGACGGATTTTGAAGAGAGATTAATTCGTTTGTAAAGTGTGGTGAGACTTCACATCTAATTAAATCTATCGTCAGATTCCGAAGTTTTCCGAAGATAATTCGTGTTTTGGGGGAACCCAGGTCACTTTGCTTCACCGCTGAGCCACAGTTGCCTGGAAGAATCACTTGAACATGTTGAGAGGAAAAATTCGAGACAAGATGGGTTCTTAGCGGATGAGTGACTGGTTATTCACCGGAATATTCCTAAACATTTTTTACTTTTACAGTCTTCAAGTTAAAATTTCGTTAACAAAAGGTTTACCTTAATTTCCACATCTCCAAACAAGAGTACGATTCATAGATTCATAAAAGCACATTGTCAGGATTCCGGATCGATTAACCGGCAAGATAAATGACACGAGCAACTTGGAAATATATCTTTATTCTCGTGACGATATGGCTGCTTATTCTAGGTTACATGGGCTGGCAGCTTTTGTCCGTAGTAGAGGACTCAAATCGAAACGTGGCAGTAGTGTTACAGAAAGAAAGACAGTTAGACTTAATGAAGAACCAAAACGAGGCTCTAAGAAAGAAATTAGCCGAGGTTGAAGGCCTCAAGGATAAACTGGAGGTCGAAATTACGGAGATTAAAAAGAAGAATGTGGAATTGGAGCGTAAACTGAAGTCTGTTACTGTATCATCATCATCATCAGCCGCCGTGAAACGCGACGAAGGGTCGAAGGAGAGTCCGGCGATCTCTAATGAATTTAGGCCACCTAGCAGGGAATTTTTAATCACAAGGAGAAGAGCAGAGAAAACATTGAAAGAATTATGGTATTTTGTAAGTTCAGAAATAACCAAGGTAAACAAGATCGCTAGCGATAAAGTGCAATCGAAACTTCGCCAAATTATGGGAACGGTGGAAGACATGCACCACTTACTATCACACAACTTTGAAAATTTGAAAACGATGGATGGCCAACAAGATTGGGCTGAAAAAGAACATAAATTCCTTAGCGATCTTGTTCAAAGAAGGCTTCGTTACTTGCAGCACCCAAAAGATTGCAATACGGCAAAGAAGCTCGTATGTCAGTTAAACAAAGGCTGTGGCTACGGTTGCCAGGTACATCATCTAATGTACTGTTTCATTGTTGCTTATGGCCTCGAAAGAACTCTGATAGTGGACTCGAGTGGCTGGAGATATTCATCAAATGGCTGGACAGGCATTTTTAAGCCAGTTAGTGAAACCTGTATAAGCCATCAGGGGCATGTAGCCGGATGGAGTGGTGATGCCTCTAAAAATGAACAGAATGTTTTATTGCCAATTGTAGATAGCCTTTTCCCGAGACCTAAGTATATGCCTTTAGCAGTTCCAAAAGACTTAGCAAGCCGAATAGAACAAATTCATGGGCATCCATTTGTGTGGTGGATTGGGCAGTTTGCTAAATATTTATTTCGTTATGCGCCTCAAGTTCAAGAAGAAATTGACAAGAAAAGATCCTTGCTTGGTTTCAAGAAACCCATTGTTGGGTAAGGTAGTTATTTAAACCTTTTAGTTATTTAGAATGAAAAACTTATATGTCTGTGGATCAAATATGCATACATATGCATTAATACAAATGCATAATACAAATGCATTCATTCTTTTTAATAAAACAAACACTCTGTTTATATAGCTGTTGGAGTCCAGAATTTAAAATTCTAAAAGTTATTAATTATCCATAATTAATAAAAAGCTTCCCCCTGTTAGTTTTTACTTCAAGATTTTTAACCAATGTCTCATATTTAGAATGCCCACAGATTAATAACAGATCAAAAGTAAATTAATTTTTATTATTTTATGAGGAATATCTCAAAGGCAATTAAGTTAAAGCACGTTTTTCTCCCATTTTTATGAGTTTTAAAATATGACTGTCACAAAGACATTATTTTTGAAAGAATTATCGTATTAAAGAGAGAAAATTGGTTGAAAATTTAAAATGGCAGATCTCTAGTAAAAATATAAGTACGTAAAAATACCCTTCATCTGTGTCACAAGATCTTTATAGGCAAAGACTAGCCTGAATTTCATCCGATTACTTCGAGTCGCTATTACTCCCTGAGGGAGTAATAACAACTCAAAGTAATCAGATGAAATTCAGGCTAGGCAAAGACCTGCACTAACCTAAACTCAATAAAATGGATGATTTGGCATCACATGAATGCATTTTGCAA